CAAATATATTTAGTCTCCCAAAATATTTTTTTTTGTAACTTAAAGAGGCATGTACTTCAAGTATTTTTAATATCATTTATCAAATGATATTTTTTATATCATTTACCAAATGATAGTTACTTTCTGAATGAAATATAATGAATTTTCTCAATAACTACCACTCATTCACAAGTAACCAAGAGATTGCAATCTAAAAGCGTTGTTGCGGGTTCGCATACGCGATATTTTATAAGAAATCAATAAATATTTCATTTGTAATAAATTAGTTGAAATCTGGCAACATAATACAAAAATAGAAAAAACAATCGATTAGTATGAAAGAAAACGATGTCTTTAAGTAGTTATTCTTCCTATGTGTCATTATATGTATAAAATGTCTTCGTCCTATTAATAAATGTGCTCCTGTCTCAAACAACCTGTTTTCTTCTTCTTGTGAGTCGTCGTCTAATATGGTTCATAAAATTCAAAGTTCGCAACAGGCGTTGTTCTACCAACCATATTTATCATGCTTTCAAAAAAACAGTAGAAATCTACCTACAACTGTAACTGATTTGGTAAGAAATTATCTGAGGATGTGGGAAAAAAAACAGTTCTGCAATTATTTTCCTTTTGAAGTTTTAAAATTTAAAATGGAACTTAATGTGGCGCTTTTAGGTCGTATCATATAGTTATTATACTTAAATTAAATAAAGGAAATTTACTCGTCTTAAATTTAAACAAAAAATATTTTATTTACAATTAAACCATTTTAGCATTAGTATTTACAATTAAACCAACTTAGCATTATAACACCAGTACTTAAATTATTTTAGTATAGATTGAGAAAGAGACTACTAAGTTTATACATGGTTTACTTTCTGTATCTGCCTAGAGTAGACTCACTTTGATTATTTTGCTGACCCTTTCTTTCGGCTGCCTTTATATCGTTATTTTTTGCGTGATAAAAAGTTGCAAATTTGTGGTAAGGTCAAGTGCAAAAGTTATTGTTGTTTTCGAGTTAGTCCCATAATGGGGTTAATCCCACGATGGGGTTAATCTCATGATGGGGGTGACATTGTAAGATTTTAATCTAGTTGTTTATTTGAATTACTCTATCCGTATTTAAGTTACTATTTGCCGATGGATATTTCCCACGGTAGTTTTATTTAATCGAAGACTTTGAGATGTTCTAGAAATCTAATTTTAGCACTTTCTCGTGATTCTAATTTTAAGTGACGATAAGCGTCGCAATAATAAGGAATAAAACTTCCTGGTTTAACCCTTTCTTGTACCATTTATTTCTAGTGAAGGTAAACTAAAGCGTTTTTGGAATTGATATTGTTTTAAGAATAGTATTGATATAAGAAAAAATTCATTTAGTTTATAAAAATGCCATTTTTTTTATGGTACATATATTTAACACGACCTATTAGGAACTTATTGACTCTTATTTTTCTTTATTCATAAAATAAATTTTGTAAATGCTACAAACTTCAAAAGGAATTATGTATTTTATAATTTTTATTCGTTTTTTTTAACTAACAAATGGTTACCAATTTTATTCAAACGCACTTTAAGAAAGTTGAAGTTATTAACAAATGGAAATCTTAATTAAAAGTGGTAAAAAAGTGGTTGTAAATATACTTCCCACAGCCTTCGAAAGGGTTAAGGTAACACATCATTCATTTGGGAAATTTAAGCATCGAAATTCTACCAAACACTTTTTTTAATTTTCTATTAGATTTCATTTACCTTACAGGAGAGATTTTAAATAAATTAAACTAAAGTTTCTAATGTATTAGTGAATGCTTTGGAGTAGCATATTTAAAAACTAGCCCAGTTTTGCAATTAGCCTTTTTATTGTTATATTCATTATAACAGCAGATGAATGTATAGTATCAAAAAAGAGCATTTTATTGTTAAGCAGTCAATGTATCTGACTAAATAAAATTCATTCTCTAAATTTCCATGACTGATGCTCATTTATTTATAAACTGTCACTCAACGTTTCAAATATTCTTAAATTTAACTCTTGGAAAGGAGTGTAAATGGCGGTAGAAAAAAAATGACAACTCATTATTACAAATGAAACATAAAGTTGTAGTAGTGAATCAAGTAAAGTTGTGTTCTTTAACACATTTTTCTCAAAAACACACATTTGCAAATCTATTCGATAAAAATTTGAGAAATTATGGCCACTAGAAAGCGTTCCGAAAATTCCACCAACTGAACAATTCCAGCCGGCAAAATTTTTTAAATAGCTTTTACAGTACCGAAAGTGTATTCTTCCAAAAACTCTTGTAATGAGATATAACATTAAGAAGACAATAATGGACTCTATTTTATAAACTCATGAAGTAAGAAGCTATTAAAATCTCCATTCATCTAAAGTGGAAGACATTATGCTTCTAATTTAGAATCGTCTGCTCTATTCTCACGTTGGATGGCAACAGCTCTTCAGGTAGTGTATGTATCTGGTCGTTATATTTTTGTGCGAATTCCTCGTTTAAGAAATGCGGGCTGAGTCGTTAGGGTTACGAAAGAAATATTCCTGGATGGAATGTTTTCGCAGTTGTTTTTCTCCCCATATCACAAATTAGAATGGCTTCGCAAACCTCTGGCACTAGAAATTGCCTATAAGAAAGTAGAACTAAATGATTATTCCAGAGTTCTTATTTCAAAGTGTATTTTTTTCCATTAGCATAATTGCGTAGGAATAATAAGTATAATAAGTGAGGATATTACGCAGCTATTTATGTTGAATTTTATGGAGATTTATTTGAAGTACTTTTATAATAAAAAACATAAATGGTATTTCTGATTCGTGATATTTTACTCTGAATTCAAAACTTATTTGAAGATATCTTTTTATCAAACAATATGATACATAACCTGAAGATATTTTTTTGTAATCGTACGAACGTGGCATGGCATAGGAAAAAACGATTTCATTTATGTTATAATTAAGTAAAGTTATAACGTATATTTCTGACAAAACATTTTCAGCTTTATTATATTATCAATGAAACAAATATTGTAGAATAAACTGAAAGAAAAATTTACACAGTTTGTAAAAAAATAAAAAATTACATTAAAATGTATTTAAAACTGAGTATTCTGTTTCCGTTTTTTTCTTCGCAAATGTTGTATAGTAAATGAAAATTATATTGATATACCTAGTAATAAAATAAAAAATTTATTGATATTATCTGCTTTAGTTTTGCAACAGTATTACAAATATTGTATTCTAAATAAAGAAAAAAATTTATTTAATTTTTAAGATTCGATTGGTTAAACGTATTAATCTTAATTTCATTCTGGGAAGTTCCGATGTTATGCTTGCTTATAAATCCTGCCGCAGACATAGAGATGCTGATCGCCTATAGCGATATCCATTACCACCAGAAAATAATAATTACTGAAAATGATACAGACAACAGTCATCTCGAATCTCGAGGAAGAACAAAACAAAGAAGTGGGAATACATGCTATGAAAAAGAACATAAGTCGAAAAAGTCATGATGCAAATTTTAAAATAACGGATGACTTACTTTTTAAGCGGAATTATGGTTACGTGAGACAACAGTGGCTATTCTTCGTTCTTTAACATTTTCACGAAGCACCAACACCAGGCTATCTGGCTTCTGCTAAAACGTTAGATCGAATAAGATAAAGGTCTTACTTTCCGAGACGTTACTCAGTGTTAAACGATACGCATCTCATTACAAAGAATGTCAGCGCCGAAAATGTGAGCCACAAATGCCGCCCGGTAACTTAATGCCAATACCACCCGTCGAAGCACCCTCTTACAAAATAAGAATAGATATACGAAGACGCTTTCTGAAATCACTTCAAGGGAATCACATGAATCGCAGTGTGCACTGACTATCCCCAGATTTTCAACAGCAAAAGCTCTCCACAATGCTGAAGCTTCAGAGATAGCAAAATTGCTTCTTGAAGATATTCTGTTAAAGCAGGGATTTCTGAGAGTCCTAGTCTCATACCGTGGAGCTGTATTCCTTTCGAAACAAGGTAGAAGATTTTCTGAAACTTTAATGCTAAACATTGAACTACCACAGCCTACCAGCCTCAGACAAATGGTCTAACAGAAATAATTCATTTTATTTTGTAACCATCGTTGAAAAACCGACCGAATTTTTGGATTTACGACTACTGATATTGAACTCCATAGATGCGGAGGACTTTTTTAATTTAACTAACCCACATTTTCGTTACATGGAGAGGAAAACTATGAAAACCTTTCACGGTTATCCTGACGGCAAAGAGACTCTAACTCAAGATCCGTCTACCACTGAGGATATTTCACGTCAGCGCTGTTGCCAGTGCAAGCCGGATGCGGAATTCGTATCGATTGGGATTCGAACTCGGTTCGCCTCATTGGAAGGCAAATGCTCTATACCCCTGAGCCATCGTGGCTCCGGGTGCGGAATTTGTATTGACCAGCCATCCGCTGGAATTTTGACCAAGTTCACCTCATTCGAAAGCGAAAGCTGTATCCCTTAAGTTAAGAAGCCGTTGGCTGATATGTTATTGATGTATGTTGACGTTGATCAAAAAGACTGGGATACTATTTTACCTTACGTCATCTTCGCCTATATCACCGCCAAACCAGAAACTACTGGTTTCACGCCATTTTATCTTCTCCGTGGTTATGAAGCTGAAGCAACTGTAGACACTATGTTTCCTAAACACTTTGGGTTTAAGAATTTGGTGGACCAGTGGTAAAAGAATTATGGAAACTCTAATGTTAAACATCGAACTACCACAGCCTACCATTTTCAGACAAGTGGTCTAACAGAAATATTTAGCAGTACGTTTTAATTTATTTTATAACCGTCGTCGACAGCCGACCCAAATTTTGGGTTTACGACTACCGATGTTGATCACAGGAGGATACTGTGATCTGTACCCGAGTAGCCGAGCGGTGAAAGTCATCACCCTCGCGAGTCAGAATTTCGGCGTTCTATCCTCCCAGATGGAAGAAAACGTAAATATATATATATATATATAATGTTTAAGGTTTTATTAATTATTTCAATGTACTCTAGAAGCTTCTATTACATCATTTCCTGTTACTTATTTAGCTTTATATAAGTTCATGCGTTTCAATAAAAGAAGCGCAGTTACTCTGTTCCACATATGTCGGGCGTGTTCAATAAATCAGCTTCATTAGTCATCAGGATTCGGCTTTATTCTACGTGACAATACTACTTTCTGTTCTGGGAAATTTCAGGTCCTAAATAATTAAAATATTATTAATAAGAAAAGTTGAAACTACAACAATAATACACTATTATCAGTCATACATCTAAATTATGCAGCGAATTTCGAATTATTTAAAAATTCACATCTGAAAGATAAAAGCATTTATATGTATATTTTTTATTATTATTTTTTTTTGGTTTTGAAATATTGTATTCTTTCAAAATCTAAATTGGAAAACAATTTCTTTTTCATTATTTTAATAAAAAAAATATTTTCATTATTTTTTTTTTCATTATTTTTAAAACACGAAATTAAAAGGCTTCTGAATACTTTAAATTGAAAATTCTTATTTGTAAGACTGTACTTTTTCGGTAACTATTTCACCTAGTTTTCTGAAATTTGGAATTTAGTTTTTTAGTAACATTGTCAAAAAAATATGAACTAGTGAGCTGAAATCCACTGTTTGCTGACGCTCCACGGTCCCCGAAGATTACTATGCAATCTCATATGATTTGCTTTGAATACACCATGCTCGCTTCACTCGCTACTAAGTTAAACGCATTAGAAACCTGTTATAGCGTAAAATCTCAAGAATTTAAATAATTATTGAAAACTTTAATATTAATTCCACATTAAAAATTAAAATTTTCATTATATAATAAGCTATTGAAATAAAAAAATTAAATTGAAATTGTCTCATTGTTTTTGTTTCTAAGTTCTAAAGTTAAAATATTGTCTATTGCAAATAAATGATGTACAGTGCTCCAGAAAAAAATAGTTAATTATCTTATTTAATTACCCTTAATAACTTTTGATCTTCTGGTTTTTCAATTCTTATAAAATTAAATCATAAAAATGATAAATAAATTGTTGAAAAAAAAAACTTTTACACGGCATTATGTTTTTGTTAAATAAATATTGTTGATATGTGAAAACTCCAGCGATTTGCTAAAATGTTTTCATAATCTGGTGAAATACACTACAAGTGAAATTAACATAAAGGAGCTTATACTTTTACTAAAATTGCTTTATTTATTTTTGTTCACTGTTTTCTTAAAATCAAATATGAGAAGTAATACTAATTTTGAAAAATTTTAAATTTAAAAAAACTGTATTTTCTTTTTACTGTACTCTATTTTATTCATAAATTGTCTCAAACCATAGATTGATAATTTTGCATATGTTTTGAACAAAAATTTAATTATTTCTATCTTTAGGAAAAGTGCTTCTTTTTAGTTGGAATTTAGCATTTTAAATTTTAATGAAGTAACAAATTTATCCGTTTCAGCCAAAAATTCAAAACAAAAGATTCATATCAGTATATTATAGAAATTTATGAACTTTTAAAAATTGAAAAGAGGTAAAAGTATTTTTCTTAAAATTTAAAGTATCCGCAATTAAAAATGCAATATTTCCAAAAAAAATTTCAAATGCTTTTAAAGAAGTGTTGACAATTTTATACTTTGTTTGCTTGTTGCGTAGTAGTTTTATTTATTTACTTGTCTTAAAGTGTAAATGTAACAGTAATTACTTTATTTTTATTCTTTCTTTTTTTTCTTGTTTCTTTTATTTTACACCACGCGGTGTTTAACAGCCTTTATTTCGGCTAGCATAGACAATCAATTTTGTCATAATTGTTCTTAGAAATTTATAAAGAAATAGGAGAGAATGGATTTTTTAAAATCGAGTTTTCATTGGCTTGATTTTATTTTGAAGTGTAAGGGAATTTCTTCTAAAAATTTATTGATTCATGTTTTTTTTTTTATTTAAAGATAGGCAATATTAAATTTCGTAACAAGAATAATATTTTTTTTTCGAAATTTTAAGGTGCCGCTATGACAGTGTACTCTATATTGGTTTTACTTATCCGGACGTAGACTAGGAAACCTTCTTAATTGGGATTTATTCAAGACGAAAACTAATTGCGCTTAATTGCATCTATAGTACTATAGGAACAATGCAAGCATATTGAAGCAAGTAAGTTAAAAACTAAACTTTCATTTTTAAGTTAATTAATGCATCAAGAAATATTTTTTATGATTATTTAAGTTATTGAAGATAAAATAAAATTTCTTTCCTTTGTTAAATAAATATTCCAACAACAATAATTTATGCATAAGATATGTTTATATATCAGCTACATATTCATCCGCTACATGCAGGAAGAATTACGAAAAATTGAATTATTATTCAACGCTACATGATTAAAAGCTTCTATATTAGTTAATTTAATGGAGTGTAACTAAAGGTAAAAGTTATTTTTGTTATTTAGAAAATATTCATAATTAATATATATTTAAATAAAACTATGTAAATATGTCTTGTTAAGTTCATTTTTCACTAATTTGTTTTCCGTGTGTTACTAGAATATATATCAGTTTTTTTTTTTTTTTTTTTTTTTTTTAATATCAAAATTTATAGAGTTAAAGCGATTCGTCATATAGCTAAGCAGTAGTAGCATGATTTGTCGACACAAAAAAAACCGCTTTATACTGTGCGCCAAAAAGAAAGGATAACTCCGAATAACTTTTGATTTAGTGATCGGATGTTCGCTTGCTAGAACTCAATCTTAATGGTTCGAGGAGGGACCTCAAATATGCTAATTAATAGTTTAAGTTGCAAAAAACAACCTCAAAATGTACGGAGTGACTCACAAAATGATGGGGGTAGTCGCAATCTGGGAAATGCTCCTAATAATTTGGTCAAGTGAGCTGACCAAAGTTAGGACCGTTTAATGTTAATTTTATTTTTTGCGTATTTCACTATAGCTCGAGATTCTTTTAAGTCATGAAAAATGTTTGCACACAATTATTAAAATTTTTCATCCAAAAATGATTCTATGCAAGAAATAACTTTTAGTAGGTATTTATTATTTTTTATTATTTCCTTTAGTAATGATCGAAAAAATTTTTAATTGTAAGGTAATTTTTCATGTTAATGTGTTAAATTTTTTCCTCATTTCAAATAATATTATTTTAGATGACAAAATTACAAAATTTGAGTACAGTTGGTAAAATAATTCCTAGAAAATCAAATGTTAAAAAATTCAGATTTTTAAAATTTGATTTCTCAGGAGCTTATTAGATCGATTTCGATCAGATTTTGTATTTCGCCAAGTAAAATTGTATTCATTAAAATGGTGTAAAAATTTTTATAATTTACAATTCAATATTTTTCAACCATTTTTATAATATAAATATGTAAATATTATAAATATAATATAAATAATATAAATATAATATAAATAATATAAAAATAATATAAATAATATAAACATTTATAAAATTTGACTTTCGTCACCATATTTTCCAGATAAGGACAACTTGCATTTTAAAAGTCAAACTCCTCCAGGAAAAAAAAATTGTTTTCTTTTTTACTGAAAAAAATATGTTTATCTGTGTGTGTGTTTGTGTTCATAAATTAATACATTTTCTGAACTGAATAAACACGTATAGTGGGGCTTTCAGGAGAACTCCTCCAGACACCTGATTCGCGTCATGGCGGGTACTATGGTTACGTGGAAAAGTCACTTCGAACAGGGATGTGGGGTGAATAGTTATATTTTGATCTTGGTTTGAATAAACCATTCGACACTTTCTTTCCTCTATTTCATCCTATTAGAAATGTGCTCTCGCTTGTTACCATAGCAGCAGATAGCCGCAGACTTTCAGTCCGGAGGAGTTCTCCTCAAAGTCGCACTATATAAGTTTGGACTCTTTAACATTTTGTGGAAGAAGGAATGATCTTTGTAATCACTTACATGTATTGGTTTAGACTCTTTATGCATGTATAAGTTTAGACTCTTTAACGATTACTGGAGGATTGATCTTTGTAATCACTTTACTTCAATTTAATTCAACCCTGATAAGTGAAATAAATCTGGCAAATAATGACATAAAAAATTTCATTTTAAAAAAATTTAAACGAAATTGTTTTCTTTAAAAATTTAATAGTAAGTCTATGGTGTGGAGTTCAGTGCAATTTCCTTGCTTAGATTTGGAATTATTAGAATTTGAAAGTATTTTCATCTAGTTCATTAGATGATGGTAAAAAAGTAAAAACAACTTACTAGGATTTAACGCTTCGTCTTCTCTAACTAAAAATAAAATGAAATATAAAATTTGTCTTGCTGTGTTATATTTCTCGTAACATTGACCTTAGTTTCTACTCCTGAGGAACACTGTGATTTGTTGAGAAAATATTTTTTGCTCTTGCGATGATAGAGCTTAGGGCACTTCGAATAACTGTTAATGATAACAAGAATTGAAATTATTCAAAGAAGAACATAAAACCAGAAAGGTTTTGCAAAATTCAACAATTTAATAATCAGATCTTTAGCATACATTTTTCGCTACACCATCTTCCCATTTATAGCATTTGTTTTTTATGTATTTTTATCGATATTTTTTTAAAGTTTTAATTTAAAGGAGCGATTCTAATAAAACTAAAACAACTTTTTGTGTACTCAACGATTACAAGGCTTATGAGATTGTGCGCATGGGATTCTTAGCTGTTATTACTACAATTAAACAATTAACATTAATCCTTTAACTTAAGTAAAGTTGCTTTAAGGTTAAGGCGAACAAATATAGGGTGAGTCATTAAGAAGTATGCAGTTTCAATTGGTGCTCAGAAAACTACAATATTTTTGTAGTTTACTTTAACTACTAATGCCTGGTTACAAATGTAGTTAGCTACAATTACAACTACTTTTCTTAATGTAGCAACTACAAACAACTTTCGAAACGTAGTGACCACCTCACAACTTTACAGAACCGAATTTTGCTGGAGTTAATTATTTACACTTGTATAATTTACACAGCTGGAGAATTTAATTTACACATAATATTCAAAAAGGTATTGAATAATAATTGCCACCTATATTGAACTTGCAGATATATTTTGGAAATATTTATTCATGCTTATATGAGCCAGTTTGTTATTCTAAAACATTTCATTTAATTATAAAACATTTCAAATTTGTTCATTTAATCTTCAACTTTTCATGCCCTCCTCGACAGCAAACATTTAATTTAAGAAATGCTCGGAAAATATCATTTACTCTCAATTTCGCTAAGTGTTTATTGCTTTTTTATTTCGTCTAAGAAATTAAGCACATTTAAAATATGTTTCCTTGGTTTAAAGATGCATCATTGTTTCACGAATGTACACCGAAGAGCCATTACATTATGACCACCCTGCTAATAACATGTAGGACGGACCACCTTTAGCCCTCAAAACTGCTTGCAACCACCGTGGCATTGATTCCACAAGGTGCTGATCTGAGGTATCTAGTACCAAGCGCTCACCAAATGATCATGCAATTCCCTCACATTGCGAGGGGGTAGCGTGGCAGCACAAATTTGGTTTTCCAAATAGGACCGCAAATGCTCTATTGGATTAAAGTCAGGTGAATTTGGTGGCTAAGACATGAATTGAAAGTCACTGGAATGTTCCTTGAACCAATCCATGGCGATTCAACCTTTATGAGATGGTGCATTATTCTGTTGGTAAACACCATCCCTCGCAGGAAAAACTGTTGCCATGAATGGGTGAACCTGGTCTGAAACTATGTTCAAGTAACTTACAGTTTGTTCTATGAGGATTCTGGGTCCTAATGTGCCCCATAAAAACATTGTTTCTGGGCGAGAAACCATGAAAACCTGAGTGAGCACATTGTTATAGATCGAGGGTAGTCATAATGTAATGGCTCTTCGGTGTACATTCACATGTGAAAATATCACAATAGCGATAAATATCTTTTATTTGTAATAGCTAGCCTAAATAATAGTTAGAAATGACTCTAAGTACAAAAATATTGTTAACCCATTGTCACAGGGGATAAAAATTGCGTCCCTTGACAGATTCGGGAAGATTTGTACCCATCAAATTCGTTGTGTTAGAGCCGAGTCTTTACCAAACTAACGAAAAAAGTAGTTACCAAAAAGCGCTACAAACTACTGACTTTTTTTTGTATCACTTTACTCACTTCACTACTTTTTAAAAAAAGCAGCGCACTGGAAACTACAAAAAAGTAGCGACTACAGTAGTTTCACTACTTGTAGTGTGCTAAGTTCGACCTCTGGTTTCAATGAACTAAAAATCCAGAACAATGTAGCAGAATTGTATTGGATTGTTTTAAGTTTTGATAGAAACAATTTCTGATATTCTATTTGTGACCCCTTAGTCACTTGACAGGTAAAGAGTCGATAATCTATTTCCCATTTAATGCTTGTTAAGGTATCGGAATTAAATCCATCGACAGTGATCAATCCCTCTTAGTTTTCACTGATTACGAGAGATTTCGCATCAGTGTTCCGCGTTATGTCCAGAAAGAACGTTTTCGGTTACTTCTTTTATCAAAAGCAAATTTTCACGGGAGCCACTTTTTTGGATCAGTTAACTCTTCGTTGATGCCACAATTGACAACGTCGAAGACTTCATTCTTCAAATAGATGGGACACTACCACACAGGTCGGACAGCATCTCTTTTTGCTCTTCTGACCACTGCGAAATCCCTCCTAGCGAAGGAGAACTTTCTCCTCTCCCCTAACTAGCGTAAAATCTCCATTTTTTTTTTTACGTGTGATTATAAGTAAAATAATTTTCACACGTTTATCTTGGTGCGAAAAGTTTCGTTTTGCAAATGTTAATAAAAATAATTATCCTTCATAAACCTATATGAGCATTTTATAGTTTAAAATATGTATTAAGATTAGGATTTCATTTTTGAAATCAAAAAGCGTTCTTTTTTAATTCGTAAAATCATTTCGAAACATTAAAAATTACTCACTCGATCGAAATATTGCTACAAAAATAAATTAACAAATAAAAAGAAAATTTTAACAATAAGCAAATTGGAATTACAACAGCTCAAATAAATCAGTGATCTATTTCATCCAACACTGACTTCAGTTCAAGACCCTAATTGCATTTTTTTACTCTGATTGCAGCAACGCAAGAAACGCGTGTGTTCGTTATAACCATTGGTCTGTTGTGAACACCCCATTAAAAGTCAGTGACGGCTTTTAAATCATTCTTGATGATGACCCGAAGTCAGTGACAGCTTTTGAATCATTCTTGATGATGACCCGAAGTCAGTGACGGCTTCAAATCATTCTTGATGATGACCCGAAGTCAGTGACGACTTTTAAATCATTCTTGATGATGACTCAAAGTCAGTGACGGCATTTAAATCATTCTTGAGGATGACTCGAAGTCAGTGACGGCTTTTAAATCGTTCTTGATGATGACCCGAAGAACAATAATGGAGCATGCGTACAATACATTATCAAAATTAAGATAGGAGGACATGTAGTGATAGTAGTTATGAAAATTAGTGATAGTAATTATGATTAATTTAAATTATGAAAATATTTTATTGAATATTAAAGGGGATTGTTTCATTAAAAAACTTAACTTTGCAGATTATTGGGAAAAAAATTAAAAACAAGTTTCCAGTTTAAAATGGAAGCATTAATTAAATGCTAATTGAAAATTTACTTGCTCAACATTAAAATATACACTTTAAGCTTTAAAGTGATATCGTTTAAAATTTCAACATTTTGCTTCACTTTTTATGGAGTGCCGTATAGCAAATCACAAAATTGTGTTTTCATCATAATAATTTAGAGGAAATAACAAAACATTTTTCAGTCTCGTTCATTTGGTTGATAACGTGGAATTATAGCTGCACTAATAGGTTATTTATTATTTTATATTTCTGCTATTATAATTACAAGTATTTTAGTAGAATGACGTCTTTGTTCAAAATTCGGTGTTGTGCTGTAACTCAAACACAGAACAGAAGCAAATAAAAGTGCCGAAATCTTTTATATATTGAAAAATACTCACCAAAATTAAACACTTCATTGAAAAAATAAAGAAAAAAAATTATAATTGAATAAATTGAGCTTCAGCATTAAGTTATAATTTGTATTTTTGAAAAATGAATCAAAATTTTTTTCTGTATATTTTGCAAAAATATTTCTTTGCATTTTGCATAAATTGGTTATATTTTTCAATGTTTTTTAAAATATAACTAAAATTTTAAATTTAAAAGTTAGTATTTATGAAAGCAGATACTATTTCATTCCAGTATGAAGAAATATTATGTGAAATTGATGATGGAAAACCACATTTGGCATTCCATTTAGACACAAACACAATTTTCACTTTTTTTTCTAGAATCACTACATTTGCGTCCCCGAGAATAATCTAAATTAGATAATCCGGAAAAAAATTAAAGAAATACAAAAATGCTTATTTTTGTTTTTTTTAGAACTAAAAATAATACTTTATTTTAAAATGACATTAGAACTAAAAATGATGAATGAATGAGTGATGAATTAAAGCTAATAGATAACAGTGCAATATTAATGAAAAACGTTTAATGAAGTTATAAATACGAGTAAGTTTGGTATTATTGTATATTCAGAGTGTATTTTCTGACAAGACATATAATTTTAAGCTACTTAAGGATTTGGCAATTTTAATCCAATAATCTTTCGTTACAGAGAATGGAGTTGAAGTTTTTCCCAGCCATTAAAAGCTTATGACTTATGAGATCTTGTGTGTTCCATTTGCAAAAGGGTTAATAGAATCTAGCATTTTCGACCCTGATAAAAAGTAATAAATTAAATATTTATTTATAGGAATTAATATTGATGTTCTAAACAATGCTTAACTGATCATTTTGGAGTTGTTCATTTTAGATAAATTTCGAATTTATGCGTGCTCTTAGCTTATCCGTTTACTTGCTTTACCAAACATAAGGAAACAAATTAAAACAAACGATTTTTTTTAAAATATGCCATATAATCCATACTGAACTTTGTCCGGATCCTTGTAAATAAAAGTCAAAGAAATATATCCAATAGAGTAGAAATTCTCAAAACGTTAATCTAGAAAGAATTGTGAAGGAAAAAAGCCTTTCGCTTAGGTAACACCTTTCCACTGATTTAAAATTTAGGAACAATAATGAATAATTATTGCCACTTTAGTTATAATTATTTAGTAAATTTTTTATCATTCATCATCATTACACAATTCTTTTTCATTCTTCCTCATTCTTGTTTAGAAAAAACAGATTTCAAGGAAATATATTTATTAGGGAAGCAATTCCCAAAACGTAGATCAAGAAAGAATCGCTATGGCGCTAGGATTTTCGCTTAGGTAGCCCGTTTCCACTGATTTAAAATTTCGGAACAACAATGAATAAATATTTTGACATTTATTATATTTATTTAGCAAACTTTTTTTTATCATTTATCATCATTACACACTTCTTTTTCATTTCTCTTCAATCTTGTTTAGAAAAAGAAAAGATTTCAAATAAATATACACATTAGGGTAGCAATCCTCATAACGTAGGTCAAGAAAGAACTGTTATGGAACTAGGATTTTCGCTTAGGTATCTTCCACGGATTAATGATTGAAATTTAGGAACAACAATGAATAAATATTGCTATTTTTATGATAATTATTTAGTAATCTTTTTTATAATTTATCATCATTACACGCGTCTTTCGCGTCTTTTTCATTCCTCCTCATTCTTGTTAAAATAAAATAAGATTTCTAAGAAATATACTCATTAAGGTAGCAATCCTCATAACGTAGGTCACGAAAGAATTGTTATGGAACTAGGATTTTCGCCTACGTAAAACCTTTCCTCTGATTTAAAATTTAGAAACACAAATAAATAAATATTGCTACTTTTATTATAATTATTTAGTAAACTTAATTTATCATTTATTATCATTAAACACTTCTTTTCATTTTTCCGAATTCTTGTTTAAAAACAGAAATTAAAGAAATATTCATACTTGGGTACTTATTCTCAAACCAGAGGTCCGAGATGGAATTTTTGGAAAGCGAAGATCTTCGCTTAGACTGATTGTTTCCACTAATTTGCGGTTTAAAAATCACAATGAATGAATATTTCTACTTTTATTGTTATTATTTAGTTTTTCAACAACTTTTATCCATTTACTCTTCGTTCTCATTTCTCGGTCGTCCTGTTAACTAATCTTTTTCATGAAAATATACCGTTTGTTAACTTGAAAACGTGTCACCGTAAATAACTTTTTTAACTCTAGCAATTTTTAAAAATTGGTGAGTAGGTTTTATTCTCTAAAATAGTTTTTATTTCAGAATGATGAATTGAAACCCAGCTTTATTTAGTTGGGGAACTTTCCTCTTCTTCAGAATTTGGTTGGCAGTACACAAGAATAAATATATTTAACTTGTTGATGCGTTAAAATCAAAAGATTGACAACACTTTTATTGAAAGGAGCTAGAAAAAAAATATATAAAAATGAAATCAACTTCTAAAGAAATCTTTACAGTTGAAGATGGGGCCAAAAAAAATCCTAACATGTTTGATAGCCGAAAGAAACTAAGTAAATATAAGAAGTAAATAAGTAAAAGAGTAAATAATTAAATGTAAGAAACCACTCTAACCTTTATCATGGGCATGTAATCAAGTTGGTTTTGATGCCGCATTTTAAATGACGTAATGTTTCATAAGATTTTGAAACCGTTTTCAATTTTTCTTAACGAAATTAATAATTTTTTCTCTTAATATGTATACTTTGGTCTTTTCATTTACAAGGATATAAATTAAGGTATATCACACGGAAGCATTTGATATGTAGTTTTCATAAGATACAAATTAATTTACTTTTGTCCATTATGCTTTCTAGTATATAAATAAAAGGAAATGTTAATACTTAATTAATTATGAACATCGCATTACAAATTTAAATTCCTGGCATAAAAGGCTTCATTTCTAAAATGTTTGTCACAATAAATTTTTCCTCCAAAAGTTAAACCCAGTATTTTATAATATGAATTACAGCATAAAAATCATTTTAAGAATTTGGAATATATTTTTGAGTTAAACAAGTTCATGTGTCTCCCCACATCCCTTACAAGCATTAAGATTTACTCACCACCACTGAGGAACTCAGATGAAGCAACTGAAAATAAAATATTTAACCATAAATTAAATCTAAATAATAACAGTAATTTGTGTGGATCAGTGGTAGAACAGAATTGCATAGCGAATTTCTGTTCCATTCCTTTTGTATTCCATGTATTCCATTTTGAGATACTTTTTTTTAATAGTTTAAATTGCAATCTAAACTCTGAATATTTTAAAATATATATTTTGAAAATTTTCTGAATGTGGTAATAAAAACGTTATTCTAATTAATATAGAGAACTTTACAAAAATTGTTTCCTTGTTATAAAATCACCAACTTGAGTCCAGTAATTTTGGGAAACCTAATTTATCTCTCTAAATTCAACAAAAATTTTATTCTAGCAAATAGTAAACCTTAATAACGAAAATAGACTGAAAAGTTCAAAAATTTATCCAAAATTTACTAATATATATTTTTTTTATTTTTTTGATTGAAGCAAAAAAAGATAAAAAAAGTTATAAATAAATCTTTTTTTTTTCATTTTTAATATGTATTCTATTATTCTTATTTACTCTTTTAATACAATAAATTCTATTGTTTAAAGTTCAACTTTCAAATCCCCACTGAGAAAATAATTAGAAATTTCGTATGGATGTGGTATTATTTTTAATTTGACTTCACTTTTAGATGCAAGACATGGGTTCACACAAATTAACCTTTCTCTGGCCTTTACAAAGTCTAATGCAAGCTTTTTTAAGGGTCCAATTCGCTGCAACACTGAAAAACAACTTAGTAAATCATTATTCCTTAGATGGATAAGTTTTCCTGCATTTCATCATTGACTTAAAATTATCTATTAACTTTTTCTCTCTCACTTGCATAGTTATGTCAGAACAAGCATTGTACACAACAATTTGCACTCACCGTCATGATTACTGGCATCACTATTGATCAACACTTATTTTGAAAAACATATCAATAAGTCTCGACCTTCAAATACAATATTCAAAATAGAAAAAGTCATGAAAGGTTTTAATTTAAAATAAAATGCATTCATTATTTAAAAAATCTTATCAATAATAATATCGGAAATGTACTCTTAAGATAAAATTTAAAGTGCGTCGTAAACAAAACAAAAAACACCGTAAACTAGCAATATTTGTAGATCAACAAATAAAAGTTATCACAGAAATAACAACTGATTAAAAGCCTAATACTTTCCCTGAGACTGACAAGAAGTTCCGAAAAAATTATCGTTCTTTTTCTATCTCTGTAAGTTGACTAACATCAGAAAACGCGAGTGTCTCAAAGTTGCGGTAATATAGCCACTTGCGACAAAATAGCCATATTTTATAATAATTATTAAGAGCATTTACAAAAATTATATATTACTCACTTTTATCAAGCATATTTGAAAGGACGTCTAAAAATGAATTGTTATTGATAAGATAAATTGTTGTTAAAATAATAAATTCATATGAAACATAACACTTATTGATCAGTGATACAACTAAACAACATCGTGAAGTTCGAATTATTTGAAGATTCTCTATCTGGGAGAAAAAAGGTTAAAATGAGAAGAATGGTAAGTTATCGAGTTTTCAATGTTCTTTTAAATCTTCTTGCTCATGGTGGAAAAATTTAATTGTTATTATTTTTAGTATCAAAATATTTTATTCCGTTAAATCTAAATTACAAAGCATTTTTTATGACCTTAGAGTATTTTTCACAAAGTTAAAAATTTTCTTCAAAAAAATTTTTATTTGTAATAATTTTTCCAGAACTATTTAAACGATATTGCTGAAGTTTATATTTGGGTTATTAATAAATCTTATGAAATCATTTGCTTACTAAAAATACAGAAGGTGAATATTCCCTACTGTTGAAAATAGTTTGTTGTCTTTAATTTAATACCAAATTTTTCAGATAGTTGCAACGGATTCAAAAATTGGAATTCGTTGAAAAGAAATTTGTTGAATTGTTAAAAGTAACTAAGCCTTTTTATGTCCAAATTCACAAATTAACGGTCACAAATCTTGCTAAAAAAATTAAGAGGTTAAGGAGTCACCTACGGTAATGTGTTTATTGGCAAAAAACACATTTAAAAGGAAGTTTTGCTCTTCTTGTTATTAGGTTTCTTAAGCATTATTTATTATCGTATATCAAATTCAATTCATTGTTCTTAATTTGATGAATAGAAGTTTGCGTGATGGAAGTTTAACTGGAAACCCATGATCCAGAATTCTGTCTGCATTTGCATCGGTTTTCGTACCCTTTGCAACATGATTTATCCTCCATGCGACACTTTTCCTTTAAAAAATTCCTTAAGGCATCTTAGAGAAAGCACTGACTCCGAAGGCCTGTTGAAATTTTGCAAAAGTTTTAAATGACCATGTCCAAAGCTAAATTTGATATCACACCATTGCACTTATTATATCTCTCATTTCTATAACTCACTACAAAGACTGATTTCAAAGAAAGAAGACTTTCGCCAACAACATAAAGCTAATGAGTTTAAATTTGTACAAAGCATGCATAAGAGATTCACTTATCACCTCCCCAGAGATGGTGAGCCCTGGGTTCATCTTATTTAACTTTCTCTAGCACAGCTATTGGTATAGTGTACTATACTAGGTCAGAAATAATTACATTTTCGATTACATAATATTTTATTTTACTTTTAAACTGATGTACCACATATATTTCTTAATCTTAATGTTTATATTACTTACAGGTAAACTTTCTCTGAATTGAAATTAATCATTGTTAGCAAAATAAAGGAGAAGAAACATTAACTTACCAGCAGACAGTAGATTAGCTATAAAGTAGTCAATGCATAAATTTTATGTATTTATTCTGAAATATACAATTCATCTGCATGTTTTAATATTCAACAGTCCTATTTCATAATTTGCATATCTCATTATTTATAAGATATGTGTACATATATCTTTGTAGTTGCAGCGCACTTTGCGCTAGAACTGCACAATGGGCTATTTGTGATGGTCGGGGAAACATCCGTGAAGATGATCCGAAGGCATGCCATCACAATTTTGATCCTCGATGGAAGGGATGGCACCCTCGCTTCGGTAGCCGGACTGTTGCGGTAGAACAGTTTAACGAGGACCATTAGAGCACACTCTCAGTCCCTTTGTTGAATGATGCAAGTGGTCACCTATTCGCATACTGACCGCAGCCAGTGATGCTTGACTTCAGTGTTCTACTGGGAACCGTAACAGTCGGTGCATTAACGCCCAGTGTCATGTGTAACTTATGGAAACAATTCCAGGATCCATCGAACGAAAGCATGGGCAAGGTCGTCCAAGAGCCGCGACGACCAGAGAAGATTAGCATTTTTCCATTATAGTGATGCGTAAAAGAGGGGCTACAGCTTCTCAGTTCTCTCGTGACTTGTATGCAGACGCAAGAACCCGTGTATAAATGGTGACTGTGTCCAAACGACTTCATGAGAGAGGGTTGTTTGTAAGAAGACCAGCTGTTTACCTCCCGCTTACTTCTACGAACAGAAGAGTCCATTCAGCATGGTGCAGAGAGCGTAAGAGACTGTAGTATGGATCAATAAGTGACCATTCTCTTCTCTGATTAGTCCAAAGACTCGTTACCTACCCTCCAATGCCGTGAAATCAGCCATTATGGTGGAGCAGGTTTAATGGTCTGGGCAGATATCCATGTTGGATGGCCACACGCCTCTCCATGTCTTATGAAGAGGCTCTGTGACTGGTGTGAGGCATAGGGATGAGGTCTTGGAACCCTATGTTCAGTTTTCCCTGTGTTCTTTTTAATGCACGATAACGCAAGGCCACATAGAACTCTTTGATTGGACGAATTTCTAGAGAGTGAATATATTTTCTGGCTGGATTGGCCAGCCAGATCTCTAGACTTCAACCCTATTAAGCAAGTCTGGAATGCTCCGGGGAGGGCAATTGCAACTCACTACCCCCTTCCGAGAACAATAAAGGGAATGAAAACAGCATTGCTGTGAGACCAAGTGAGACCAATTGCCACAGTAAATGATAAACTTCCTTATTCCAAGTATGACAGTAAGCTGCAAGGCCTGTATATCTGTAAGAAGGGAACATACCCATTTTCACCCATTTTTTATTATTATTCAACCTCTGTTTCACACCTTCCGAATCCAATGAGTGTTACGCACGTTCATGCGTGTGCATTACAATTATTGAATTGTTATTTATCTCTGGCTTCTCTCTTCATGCAAACGTGCAATAACCTGACTTTTACTGCTTCTTCGGGCCATTGCGATCTACCCCCTCTTTTACATTTCCAGAGGTTTGTTGTAGTTTTTTCAAATGAGTAGTCATAGAGATAAGAAACATCGGTTAGAAATCATTAAATCCTATTTATTATGTTTTTGTTTTCAGGATCTTGCCTTTCGAAATTTTTCTTAAATGTGATGCTTCTTTTTTCAGAAAAAAAAAACAATTGAGGAAAGCAATAAAGCATGTGTAAAATATTACGAACTTCAAATTCAGATATAATTGCGATTGAGCAATTCAAAAGTATTTCTCAAAGTTCATTAACCGAGTACTTTACATTAGGTAAATATAACTTTAAAATGTATTAGAGTGGAAATTATTTCACACAATTTGAAGAATTTTTTGTTCAATCATTTACTTTATTAGCTGCATTTTGCATTCTTAAGGTAGATCTTAAGAGGACGAAAAAAATGTTTTTTTTTTTCATTGGAAATCTTAGAACGTTCTGCAATTTATACAATTAAATAAAAATAACACTTTAATTAATCTCTTGCTGAAAAACTCATTCCTGTGATCATATGATATTTTTTTTTTTGAATCGGCCCAAAAAAAGGAGTTTAAACGCTGACGCTATTAGCTAGAGTTATTTTATATGAAATAAGTATTTCATCATTGTAATAAACGAAATCACGTGATCTCATAGACTAACATGAGGGAATATTCTGATAAGGACATTAACTCATCTGGACGTCATTAAAAATTCTATGAACTTGTAGAAAATTTTATGAAATTGTTTTGATTAAGTTCATAAGCAATATTTATTCAATGAAAACGATGCATATTCCTTATTCGGGGATAAGGAGGAATATTTCTTTTTCAATAAGATTCATTATTTAATGATAATTTTAATAAGTTTGAAAATTCATCACTAGACTTATTTGATTGCTCATATATTTAAGGAGAATTATTTTCAGACTGTTATCGACGAGCGTAATACCAGAAGAATGGAATTATTGAATTATGAATAACTTTCTAAATAATTACAATTATAATTATGACTAAGTATAAATTTAAGGTATGGGCCATGTTCTAAATAACTCTAACTTAAAATATTCAGATTGATTTTTTCACTTAAATTAAGATATTTAAAAGTTTAAATACACATTTAAGACATATTTGCTGTATATCAAATTCAATGATATTTAAATTTCAATGATTCAATATCCAAACCATATTCGGAAACTATAGAATTAGAATTGTTAAAAATAGTTTATTTGTCAGAAAAACATTGAAAAAAGTTTTAATAGTATCAGCGTTTTCGTTTTTTAACGCCTCATTTCCCATTTATATAATAAAATGTTAATGTATAGCTATTATTGTTCTTTTCATGTCAAAAATAAAAAACATGTATTAATATATTAACGGCATTCATTACAAAACTCCTTATATTAACGCTTAATATTGCTTAAAACGGCGTAATTTTTATACATATTTCGTAACCTAACTAAGTTTAGTACATATGACGTGCTATTTCGAATGTAACATTAATACTTTGTTGATAATTCCTCAAAAACTTTGAATAAATGCTTTCCATACAATTTTCCGTACCTTACATGACCTGAAAAAATATAGTCCTGTAGAGATAATGTTTCAATGTGAATAATACCTTGGTATTTATGCTTCGGCAAAAAAAATAATATGCCAGTATGTACTGAGTATTTCGAAGATATTTGGTGCACATAATTGTTTTTACAAATATTGTTACTTTACCTGGTACAATATAAATTCAACAAATTTTAATTATTTATTCTGTAAATAGTTTTAGGAAAATCCATTTTGTTTTGAGTTCCAAAAAATAATTGATTCACAAAATAATATCAAATATCCCATAAACTCAATTTGAACTGAATTTATTGGATTGATTTATAAATTAAATTTTAATCGTTAAAGTCTTTTTGCTTTTAAGCAATTATGTCTCTTAAATCATAGTCAATATTAGAAATTCCTTATTAACTAGTAAGCTAAATTTATTAATTAATAAGCCCAATCTATAAACATAATAAGCTTAATTGATACGACTTTTAGGAAAAATGCAGCCCACACACTTCAGGCAGAAGTGAATTTGAAAAATCAACTTAACTTTTTAAAGAAATGCCCGGATTGTTTTCAATTTTTTTCAATGAATCTAAATCAATAAACGCTGAAATTATAATGTCAAAATTTAGAAATATTAATTCAAGTCTTATAATGATTCATATGCTTCAATTTTTTTTATATTTTAATAACTAAATCTAGTTTACATTAATTAGTTTAAATTAATTATAATTATTGGTTTAAATTAATTGCTCAA